GCAGACGCCATGTCCCATAAACTTGGATGTTTCAACAGGCGCCTCGGCAGCGCGCACCATCAGCTTCAGCGTAATCGATTTAGCTTTACGCTTGATCTCGATCAAACGATTGTGCACCTCGACGCTTAGCTGTTGCAAAAATTTCTCTAGCTCCTCGTACTTAGTAAAACGTATGCCATAGTTCACCTCAGCCGACACAGACTTGCGTTGCTAAAATTAAATCAGTTTTCATCAAACTAATCAGAGGTCGCTTACATTTATGTCTTACTTGTTCGTAGACTAAGGGACGCAGATCAATACCGTGACAATTCTGGTGCAGTGTTAGTGCCATCTTCTTGCCCAGCAGCGTTTCCAGACGCGCCAGTGAAGCCAATTGAACATCGCCGCAAGTTTTAAAGCCCGCTTGATTGAGTTTGTAGGTCATGCTGCTGCCCACACCGGGCAAAGTGTCCAGTGTAAAGTTGGCCATGTACTTGGCAGCATCGTCAGTGTCTAGCAGATGCTCTCCATTCGGCTTGGCCAACTTGGTAGCCATGCGAGCTAAAAGTCTGTCAATGAATATATATATAATTATCAAATAGAGTAAGTGTTTCAGTTGAAGTATACTTATTCTCGCCCACGCCCGCAGAGCAAGGGCAGCCAGTTATTTGGCGCACTTCCTGCCGTAGATGCGTAACAAAAGTCATAACATCGACTTGCAGTTCCTGCAGCAAATCTGTGAGATCCACAAACATTTCATCGCAGCTAACAGCTTCGATATTCAGCGTGTACTGGGCTACAGTATTATACAGAGCGAAGGCGACCTGGTAATGAAATAAATCAGTATCCTGAATCCTTAAAGGCATATTAAACTACCACCTCTCGATAGCCCTCAAAGTCGTAGGGAATGGTTTTCAGTTCGGGGCACAGCTTGAGTGCCTGGCCAACAAACATGCCATTCTTGATGCCCTTTTCGCGCGCCTCGTAGCTGCAAGATGCGATTTCCGATAGCGACATCTTCTTATCAAAGCCATAGCGCACCTTGTCCGCACGAACGCTGTCGTGCTGCCGATGCTCGAAACGTTGGGCAAACAGATCCTGTTCCACCTTGCGATCAGCTTGAGGATGAACAGGTACATCTGTAGCTGCACTGCCGCCTTTGGAGTGTGTCACAGCGATTGGCTGGCCTCGCAGCTCTGGATGCTTGCGCAATCCCACAGACACGAAAAAGCAATCCATATCAATGTGCATCACATAACGCTTGGGTGTCTTCGGTTGTGGGATGATTGGCTGTTTCTCACTTAGTTGTTTACGTAGTTCATCCCGTTTAGCGAATGATTTGTTGCCATGGGCCTGTCGCAGCTCGCAAATATATTGCTTGAAACCGGAGCCAAGTGTCGCAATATGATGCAAGCGCGAGTTTTTATAGAACTCGCCGAGGAACGACGGGTCGACAGCAGTGCGAGCGCTATTACTGGTAGTATTTGTAGTAGTGGATACATTTGCTGTCGTAATTGAATTTTCGTCTGGCGAAGTGACAGACACAGGCTGCTGTAGCTCTTTGGGTATGCCACCAAGTGCATTCTCCGATGATCCCGCTTCCTCCGACATATTGGAATCATTGTTCTTGCCTTTGCCAAAATTTAGACATGGTTGTGTTGTTTTTTGATTGGTATACAACAGGTACGGCTTATAGTCCAAAATGCGCATCTGTTCAACACAATCGACCACCCATTGGGCCCTTATTATCCGGTTGGTGTCCATTTTACGAACTTTAACGTCAGGTAAATTAGACGCTATGACAAAACTCGTTTCCGGTTTTTCATAAGTGTGAAATGTCCCGCCATATACCATCATAATGCGCTTGAGCTCATCGGCTGATGGATTGACTTTCCCATTTACGAATATTGAAATTCCATTAAAAAGATTCGACTTGCGAAATGGAACGCTGGCTGCCGCGAATTGCTCCTCAAGCTTTGCTTTTTTCGCTTCAAAGTAACCGCCCTGTGAAAATTACATAAATCACTATTTTTATTAATTTCTTTTTTCCTAACTTACAAAGTCAGCAAATCCATTGTCTTCATCACGGGCCATCGCTGTTCATCGCCAAAATGAATTAGCCAACAATTTAAATTTCTTTAGAATCAGCTTCAACCTGGCCGATAAGTATCTGACTGACACAAAAAGTCGATATCCCACTCGAGCTGCTCAGTCGATATTTCCACATGTGGCAACTCTTTCACGGTTAGTGTTGAAAAATATCCGCATATATTCTTGTTATTTGTAACCGGGTTTTTACTTAAGTTTCTGTTGAAATGTGGAAATATGGACAAAATCAGATGAACCAAGGTGCATCTGGCGGAGGCGGGCCAAATATGATGCCTATGGGTGGATTTATGCAAGGAGGTGCTGGTATGCACATGTCGCCGCAACAACAACAACAGCACCAAATGAACCAAATGATGGGAAGCGGCGGACCCGGCGGACCAGGTGGAATGCAAATGAATCCGAATGCTGGCGGCGGAAATGGGCCAGCTGGTTTAATGCAGGGTATGGGCATGTCCCCGCAACATCAGATGCAGCAGCAGCATCAAATGATGCAGGGCGGCGTTGGCGTTCCAATGTCAAATATGCCGCAACAGCAATCAAATGTAATGCAGCAGCAGATGATGGGTCCACAGCAAGGAGTGGGTATGGGTGGTAGTGGTGGTGTTGGCCCACAGCAACAACAACCCAATATACCACAGCAACAACAGCAACAGCACAATCCAGGTACAGGTGCAGCCGGTGGAGGTGGCGGAAACAATATGTTGGCGATTTCTCAACCAAATCCCCACAAAGAAATCAACATTGTCCAACTGTCGCGGCTGGGCCAGGAGACAGTGCAAGACATTGCTTCGCGCTTCCAAGAGGTTTTCTCAGCTCTAAAGAACATACAACCTACCTCGCACAGAGACAACAATACTGAGAAAAAGGTTCAAGAGTATTTTCGCACTATCCGCTTGCTTTTCAAACGTGTGCGCATCATCTATGAGAAATGCAATGATGCCGGCATGGACTATATGAACGCAGAAACCTTAATACCCTACAAGGATGAACCGGATCCTCGTATAGAGCCATCGCAATGTGACGAATATCGCAAAGTGCTGCAGGAGAACCAGGAACTAATCGAAACTGTAAAACTAAAAAATCGTCAATTACGAGAGATTATTGATAGGACGCGTATAATAATATGGGAAATTAATACGATGTTAGCTATGCGGCGTTCCTAAATTTAAATATATGTATTAAATAATTGTAAACACTTGTTTATTTATCTAAATGGGTTTAAAAATACAAAAAGAAAATTGAGTTTGATTGTGGTCTTTTCCAACACTGCCTATTTGAGATGCAGTAGAGAATAGGCAGTTTGTGTTTGTACGCGACGACAGCGACTTTTCTCTCTTAAGCTGAACAATAATAAAGATTAAGTTTTCGTTTTCATTGAGCCGAATATTTATTAAAACAGCAACAACATGGCGAAAATGGCATTTCAGCATCAGGCCGGAACGGCTATGGAATGTTTAAGCGTGAGTTTATATAGTAAGATACACACACGCACACATTGACGGTAGAAATAGCGTTCTTCCTGTATACACCTAGTAGATGTGTATGTGTGTGAATCGTGTACGTGAAATTAGGTCGCGTTTCATAGAAATTACTCATAAACAAACTTTCACATTGTTCGGTTATTATAATTTCGGATTCTTATTAGATACCCATAACGCTGCATAAGGAGAAGGATTACGACCAGGAAGGCAGAGAGATACTGAAGTGCGGCTTTAAAATTGGTGGCGGTATAGATCAAGACTACAAGAAGAGTCCGCAAGGCTACACAGACTATGTATGAATTATCTATTTTATATATTTTCGAACTAAATCGAATACATATAAACATCTATTCAGGGCATCTACGTGACGGAGGTGCACGAAGGTAGCCCAGCTGCACGGGCCGGTCTACGCATACATGACAAGATACTGCAATGCAATGGCTACGACTTTACAATGGTCACCCATAAAAAGGCAGTTAGCTATATAAGGAAGAATCCCATACTTAATATGCTGGTGGCACGGAAGGGCGTCACATCCACATAATTTAATGGGCTGGTATCCAAACTTCAGAAATCTACTATTTAGTACTTCACTGCCTCTCATTGATACGGATCTCTAGCGAGCGCTCTCTTGAAAACTACTCGAATACTTACATATATTTAAGCATGTATACTTATTTAACTTTAACATTATGCATATCGCGCGCACCTATATATATATATAGCCATATATACATAACAAAACGTTTAGATGCATATGTGAATGTAGCACGTAGAAAAGCTTTTTGTTAAATTGATTTTCTTTGACTCGGTTTAAGTTGATATATAAAAAATCACCATATTAGGTTGTTATACGATTGCCAAGAAACCGTGTAAAGAAATTGCCAAAACAGAAATGCCACATGCTACAAACAATATAGAAAACCCATAAGCCATAACCCAGGTTCAACGAGGGGCCGATTTCCAGGCCTAAGTTCAAGTGTATAAGGTAAAATTGTCATCGAAATTCTCACTCACGTATTGAATAGGGAATCATACTCGTAAATATAAACAATTTTGTACTTTTATACACCAATCCAGATATATTCATATATACAGACGTATGTATGTAAGCAACAAGCAACAGCTCGAATACAATCAGCAGCATTCCAAAAACAAAACGCATAGTTGTTGAAAACTAAATATTTCATAATTGTGATAAAAGCCGTTATTTGTGCAGGTGTGTTTTTTTTTTATAAATATGTATAAATACACATTTATTAAGTATTTTTAAAATCAGTTTTTAAATGTTTAATTGCATTGAATAAATGTTCGCCTCTAAAAAAAACGAAACCCCGTATTTACATTTGACCTTGGAACTCGCATTACGTATGAAGATAACGAATCATAAAATGTCATTAGGTGCACATTGTTGATTTTAATACAAGTTACTCTGAGTTTACGTGCACACAGACACATATTAGTTCATTTAATTTTGTAACATTTTGCACTTAAAATTTGAGAAAACAAACCATAAACAACTAATCGTACGCAAGCATTTTGCTAATTAGAATAATTACAAATATTTGGAGTTAGAGGAGCGGTCGAGGAACATGTAGATAATATAACAGAACAGCAGAAAGAACGTGGCACGCTGACGGAGCGACTTGCCACGCAGCGGGGGCAAGAACACATCGATATGAAACACGCTAACAAAAACTACTTCTGGGCATAGCCATTGGGATTCTGACTCTGCCAGCGCCAAGTGTCCTCGCACATTTTGTCAATGCCACGCGTCGCCTTCCAGCCCAGAGCTTGTTCAGCTAATTTGGCATCTGCATAGCATGTGGCCACGTCGCCTGCACGTCGATCGACTAGCTCATAGGTCACCTTCTGGCCGGAGGCACGTTCGAAAGCATGCACCAGCTCCAGCACAGAGCAGCCAACGCCAGTGCCCAGATTGTACGCAAAGAATCCCGTTTCAGCAATGTTGCGCAGCTTGTCTAAGGCCTTCACATGACCTTCAGCCAGATCAACAATGTGTATGTAGTCACGCACACCAGTGCCGTCCTTGGTGGGAAAATCGCTGCCATAGACGCTGAGCTTTGGACGACGACCCACGGCTACCTGGGCAATGTACGGCATCAGATTATTGGGCTCACCATTGGGATCTTCACCAATGCGACCGCTGATGTGTGCGCCCACGGGATTAAAGTAGCGCAACGAAACAACGGCCCAACGCTGTCAATTAAATATTAAAATGATTAATGTCAGAGTGGAGTTTGTAAAGTAAGGATTAGTCACACCTTGTCTGACTTGCACAGATCCTTAAGTATTTCTTCTGTGAAATATTTGGTTTTTCCATACGGGGATGTGCAATTCCCCGTTGGGTGCTCCTCAGTGACCGGCAAGAACTGAGGCTCGCCGTAGACCGTAGCGCTCGAGCTATACACGAATTTGAAGACATTGTTGTCAGCCATGGCCTCCAGCAGGACATTGGTGCCTGTCATGTTGTTATGGTAGTATTGCAGAGGAATGCGGCAGGATTCACCTACAGCCTTCAGTGCCGCAAAGTGGGCAACCATGTCGATCTTGTGCTACAAATATAACAAGTAGCTAATGATTGGCAAACAACAACAGTTGTATTTAGATAATAGATGCATCTATTGCAACGTCAATATTGACGTAGTCGTTGCCAACGCAGCGAGTTATGTGACCGAGGTCACGACAATGCGCTCGTTGGCGAGGGCGCGTCAGAAGTATGCGGCAGCTGCGTAAACAGCGTTGAACACTGATAGCGTCAGCAATTATGATAAGAAAGATGGAGTGTTTGCGTACAGAAATGCGCCACATATATCCACCACTCAAGCACATTTTGTCAACTTGCTGACGTGCCACTGGGTTCTGGTTGAGCTCACCTCTTGGAACACCGATCTCACTTGCTCGCGATCTGTGATGTCCACGCGATAGAAGTGAATCTTCTTGCCGGTTATCTCCTGAACACGACTCAAGGCCTCTGGCAGCTTGGACGCTCCGCCACTATACGCATTGCAAAGATTATCCACGCAGATGACATTGTAGCCAGCGTTCAACATTTCCAGCACTGTGTGCGACCCAATGTAGCCCGCACCGCCAGTGACTAAGACAGTGGGTGGTGCCATATTTATCGAACCGTATGGTGCAAGCTTCTACTTACGACTGTTGCTCTGGTTCTCTGGAAAGTGAAAATTGGGTTAAGCTTAAGCGAAATTCTTATTGACGTCACCAAAAGTCTCTACGCACTCAAATACATACAGAGAAATGTAAAGAGTTTTGGTTAACGGTGCTTGCCAACGTGTGTGTGTGTTTGTTTGGCACTCACCTCAGTACACCTTAATTACTTGGCTGACTAGCTGACTGAATCACTTGGCTACCCTTGAAACCGAATGTATTATTGTTTTGTTTAAAACACACACGCACCAGACATGCGCTGATGCTGATTTTGTTGCTACTAATGATGATGGAGCTTGGAGCTGTTTAAAGATCGCTGACCTCTCTCTCTCTTTCTCTCTCTCTCTCGCTTGCTTGACCGAGCGCTTCTTCAATTTTATGTTGTGTTATCGTAACTCGTTTCGTGCACTTGTCGCGTCGTGTTCGCACGTTCATTCATTCATTTGCAAGCTTCCTTCTACCTTAGGCACTTGGCGATTCCCGAACGTCTGATTTGCTGGGCGGTTTGCTCGCAACTAATTTCTGTTCTGATGTGCGCTTTTATCTTATATTTCCGCTCCCATTTGTTTGGCTTATCAGCTTGTGTTTTTATCAATGTGAACGTGTGTGCTGAACGCTATGTTAACTTCATCTACTGGCAGCCATTGGTTTTATATTTTTCCCGCTTTACATTCCTCACAATCACACATATTTATGCAACAATTAAGTCAACTGCAGAATGAAAACAAGGAGAGGAAACTCGCGCTCAGAAGGCCGCTCTCCGGACACTATTATCAGCTGAAAGTAAACAATTATGACGTTGGCGTTGCCAGACTTGCACTGCAAGCAATCGATAGCTTATCGATAGGCAGCCAATTTGCGATACACATTTTACGCAGGCAGCAAGCAAAGAAAATATGCATTAAATTATTATCAAGCTATTTATCATTTAAATTAGTAAAAAGTTAGTCAAGCCATAACAAACAATGGCATCTGCAACGGTAAGAAATGTATGTATGCCACACTAACAACTAAAGAGCAGCAGTTTGCACATCAAATGCAACTAATACCAGCCAGCGTTAAAACAACAGCAACAAATTTTATCTGTGACTAAACAGCAAACAAACACTAAATAGATTTTGTATGCATAGGTGCCGCTATTGGACGATGATACGATACCGTTTGGTGAGGAAGATGAAATGCGCGATCCCAGCAAAGCGTCCCAGAAATACACGTAAGCAATAAACCGATTGAAGACATGTATGTATGTGTTGCACTCACCTGTCTTTTTCTAGGCATCCGTACGTCACCTTCTTCCATCTGTTCTTCCGTGGCGCATCGATCGTCATTTACATGTTCTGCGGCTGGTTTAGTGACTCCTTCATCACCAGCTTTGTATTCGTTGTGCTCTTTCTATCTGCTGACTTCTGGACTGTTAAGAATATCTCCGGGAGACTTCTAGTTGGGCTACGTTGGTGGAACTATGTTGATGACGATGGCAAATCGCATTGGGTGTTTGAGTCGAGAAACGTGAGTGGATCAACAGTACTTGATTGCAATCGATATGATAAGTGTAACACAGTCTCCTTCCTATCAGAGCCGAATCAACAAACATGAGCAGCGCATTTTCTGGTTGGGCTTAATACTCTGTCCCTTCTTTTGGGGTCTATTCTTTTTGATGGCCCTATTCGGACTGAAGTTTAAATGGTTGCTACTAGTCATGATTGCCATAGCACTGAATGCTGCAAATCTCTATGGCTATATTAAGTGCAACTATGGCGCAAGTAAGGATTTAAATAGCGCAGCAACGGACTTTATGAAGACACAGCTGTTCAAAAACGCGTTCGACATTATGACGAAACCAAATACAGCAGCTCCGCCGACTAATGTGCGCCCAACGGGCGTTGTGTGAGATCTTGAATGCAAGCCAGGCACCTTGCCAACATTTGCTGCGGAGCATTCCAAAGAGTATTTAGTTTTATGCTGACATATTCGGTCGTTGTCTCTGTGTAACATATGTAAAACTTAATTTAGCAATAACTTTTCTTACAATTACGCTGCTTTTTATTGAGTAAAGAACATATGTATGTACTGAAAATGTCGCTTTATATAATACCAAGTGGATCGTTGAGACATGGTAAATCAAAAATAAAAGGAAAAGATATTCAACATATAAGGCGGTATTTAAAATTATATGGCAGCCGCAAAAAGTCTGGTATTTTACGTTTATTACATATTAGGTCACATTAATTTTTTGAGGATGCCAACTTGCTTGATATTGCTGTCAGTGTTTAGGGTATAACTCGATTAATTCATTGCACATCACTAGGATATTAGCCATTGTCGGAAAATTTTCTTGTGTGTACGGCTTGCTAACAGTTAGAAAATATAATTCTTAAAATAAGTGCAATCATAGTGAAAAAGCAATCACAACCAAGAACATTAAGTTTGTTCTTTTCAATACATTAAAATAAAAGGTAAGCGCAGCGTTATTTCAAAGCATTTTTCGCGAAATATGTGGGTAGAAATATTGATTTTTTTGCCGCTGTCAAAGCCGGTCCCAGATGCAAGGTGGAAACAGGGTGCTTCAGTAGGCAAAAGAAAGCTAAAGACTGTGTGCATCTTTTGGTTCAATTTGTGCGTGCTTATGTTTATTTTTGTAGCAAAATGCGTGGACGCGGCAACTATATTCCACGTGGAGGCGGAACTATGCGCGGCGGTGGCGGCTATTACAACAACCGCAATTCCAGCAATTACGTGAACACGCGTACGCAAGGAAACTATCGTCCCAACAACGGACGATATGAGAACAACTATCATCACAACAATCGCTATAGTGGTGGAAACAATAACAACTCCAACAATGACCATTACGATAATCGCAACCGCGATAAGTTTAACAACCATCATAACTCGAGCACCGGTGGACGCTACGACTCAGGCTCTTCCCACAAGCGTAGCTATGTAAGTTGTGATTAATATGATATTTAAATCTCAGCTCTAACATAAAATTCTATATCTGGGTAAACAGGATTCTTCACGCGATCGTGGTGATGACCGGAAACGTCCACGTCAAGACGTAAGTTCATATAAGACCTAACCAAACATTAATATGCCCTAAAAAAAAAGTAAATCCCAAAAATTTTAGGTTTCTTAAAGATATTTGTGTACAGTTGTCTATGTCTGTGTAATTTTAATGAGTTTCCAAATATTTATAGCACTATTTATGAAGGTTTAACGCCGGATGGAAATGCATACACGTAAATGGTAGTGCTCTCAAAGTAGTCAGATTAAAAGACTTTGAGAACGAAAGAACTCAATTTGTATTGCATATATATTATACATTATAAATAGCAGCAGCAGAAGCAGCAGCTACGCATTATAGCAAAGATTTTGCCAGAGCGATCAAGATATATGTATTAATGCATATATTGTACAGCTACGGCTGAGATTGAACTTGAACCGTGAATGAGACCGTGTGTCTATATCTCATGTATTTATATATATTTTAATGCCTGAACAATCAGACAATTTCTCCGTTCCAAACAACAGATATATATCTATAAACCTATAAATATATATACATTCGATATGTATATTTGTATAATCAATCCATCTAAAATAGCTAAAAATATAAGGTTTGTTCAACATGCTACTACTACTACTACACACACTTGCTGCCAGGATAATGATTATTGCATTTGAGATAACCCAATTTATATATATATAACTATATAAAAATACATATATAGTAATTCTTTATCATCCACAAATCAAGAAATTTCTATGTATATCTATGTATTCGAATATCAAATCAAAAAAAAAAAAAAAAAAAAAAAAACAATGCTCCTCTACACTCCTTCCTACTCATCAATCGTCATAGGATTACCGTCGCACTTCGTCGTCAAATGATCACAACGATCGCCCATCGTCTTCATCGCAGAATATGGGCTCATCTTCGTCCAGTTACCATCAACGGAACAGCACCGTCGGCGGTGGTGGTGGCGGTAGCTCAAGCTCGTATAGGCCACGAGATGATTCTGGCAGCCAGCGGCATCAGCGTGATTCATCGATGGGTCCGCCAAAGCGGCCGCTGTTGCGCAGTGTTGCCGGCACAAGTTATATATCACGGCCGCGGGGCTCAATGTCCATACGCGGCGGCATGATTCGTAACAACATGCGCGGCGTTGGCACCATGAGGATTGTGCGTCCGCGCCTCAACGAATCCAATGATTTGCGCACCATGCGCCGCCAGCTGCTCTACGCACAGCAGAAAGATCGCGCTCGTCTGCTCAAGATACAACAGTTGAAAAGGTAATTAGACAAAAAGTTAAACAAACAAAACAAAAAGTAAAAAAAAAAGATTCAAGTGGTATTTGAATATTACATTTAAATAAATCCTATAAAGAAGTCAAAGCTGATGATAGTTTAAAGTATGCCATGTGCCAATGAAGTGCGAAAAGAGCATCTGATACATTTGGCTATATGTGTAATATGAACACTCTATATCAATATAAATATGCCACATTTGAGTGTGTTAAAAACTGTTATTGGCTAAATTCAGAAATTAAAAGGGTTATTTAAAACACCATTATTCTATTGAGATACTAGAAAGAGAGATTTGAGATATTGTAAAGTGTATAAACATGTAGAGAATCAAATTAAAATAACCAACGACACCCGACACTATGTAACAAACTATTTTGTTAGCTTACATCTTAATTGTATACGAGTACTTACCACATCAATTTGCATTTATGCCTTACCCCTTCACCACAAAACAAAAACAAAAAAAACAACAAACAAAAATTCAATTCGAATTCCCATGTATAGCTCGTTGCGGCGCCAACGCCAGGCAGTGAACAGCAGCGATAACTCTAGCGACAATGATGACTCTGATAACGCTGACAAGGGGGACGATTCTGATAAAAAGAAGATCAAGAGCAATGAAGATGGTGGCGAAGAAGACGAAGACGACAATAAAGATGGCGCTGATGGAGAAGAGAAGAAGAGCGAATCGACGAAAAAGTCGCCAAGTAAGAAACGTAGCAGCAAAACGGCAACTGATGATGCCGAGGGCAAGTCACAAGATGACAAGGATAAGGACGATGTCGATAACCAGGAGCAAGATGATAACAATGACGCGGAGAAGAAAAAAACCAAAGTTGGCACCGATGATGATGATGATGCTCATGAGGAGGCGGGTAAGGGCAAGACCGAAGAGTCCGGTGACAATGCCGATAAGCCCAAAGAAAAAGGTAAATCCACGAGCACTGCTGAAAAGTCAACAGGTAAGAAAAAAGAGAAAGATGGCGATGACAAGGACTCCAAGTCAAAGAAGTCGTCGTCCAGCAAAAAGGACCGCTCATCGCGCAAGGACAAAGACGAAAGCGATGACGATCGTAAAGAGCGTCGTACAACCTCTCGTCATCGCGACGATGAACACAATGTACGCAAGCGCACGTTTATTAAACTTACCTGCGTGCACTGCCGCATCAAGTGCGTTACCTTCAAGGTGGGTAGAGACGGATTGGTATAATCACTACAGATACTTATTTAGATATATTCCACAGGAATATCACTATCACTTGAACTCGCGCACACACAAGAATTCGATGCGCACCGTTGCATTGCGTCAGCGCGCAGACTTACAGCGCATGCGCGCCCGTCAACGCACCACACAGCGTGAAATTGAGGAGAACAGCAAGGAAGAGTACGAGTCGCGTTATTGTCGTCTGTGCCGTTTGGCTTATCGCCAGCCGAAGAATCTGCATCAA